TGAGCCCGGGGCGACCCAACGACCGCCCCCCCCCCCCCCCCCCTCGGTGTTATGCGTATGGTTCTGCTGATGTGAGATGCTTGGCTCGTGTGTGTGCGGCAGGATGTCCCCCGTGAACGAATACACCAGTCAACCGCAAGTTGGCCGAGTCTAGGTGTGGGCTAGGACCGTCGACAGACGGGATGTTCTCCGTGGAGAGGGCGAACTGACAATCCGAAAGAGAGGAAAATGCAGACTCCATGAACCAAAAGGTCCAGTGAGACATGAACACGACTCACTCAAACGGGATGGCAAGTTGCCAAGGTCATTACACTGAAGTCTGAAAATCAACGGTTCTATTTCAACAAATTCGCCACATAAAGGTTTCCGTCCGAAATGATGTGAAACTACCAGTTCAGATTGGTTATCTTGTTGCGCGTGTAGGCCTAAAAATCAAGTCTAAGCGTTTGGCCCGTACAATTTAATCATTCTGTGAACGTGAACGATCATCTAGGGACTTTCGTTCACTGTTCATCATCGTTCCAATTAAATGAAAAGAATGTCTCAATAGATGACCTAGTCTATATTATAAACAAACTTCTCACAAGTGTTGATCTCAGCTGCTAATTGGCTTCACGTGGACCTTCTTTGCGCTTGAATTATGATAGTTTCAGATGCGTTTGACGTGTCGATTGCTCAATATGATTCGGAGGCACTGTTTCATGCCTTTCAACTTGATCGTTTGCACTGTTCATTGACACTGTTTCATCCAAGATGGTAAGAAATTCTGAAACAGTCCTAACCTTGTTGCAACTTCCCATTTGGGTTGATCGAGAAAAGTTTTTCTTCCCGTATAGGTGGTTCTCTTTTTGCCTCTGGATGACAAGATACTGTGATCATAAACGGTTTTATATCTCCATGTAAATGATATTGAACCCTCCACTTGTCCTATAAGGCTGTGGGTAGTGTTGGTCAGTTCAGTGAAGATCCAAATGTTTTTAGATAATTTCTCAATAACTCGCTCCCCAATACATTTCGCGCCTGCTTACTTACTACTGTTTAAGAATTCGTTCTCAACTGTTCGTAGAGTTAGTGGGTAATTAGGTAACCACTTTTCATTCAATTTGCGGATTTTATTACCCGTCATTTTATGGTGAATAGTACAATAAAGGATATCTAACAGCTTCTGAACTGGCCGACTGTTCCATCTTTGGGGCATGCTGCATCATAGTCTCCATCACTTACCCCACTCTCACAAGTGACTCTGGATATTGAGGCGTGCGTTCAAGATCACACCGGCGAGACGTTTCGCTGCACGTGAAGATAGCTACTCTGGAGTGGGCCGACGAATTCTACCCGATTCAACAACCATAAAGGAAATCTGTCAAGCCAGGAGGTATGCATAGTTATCGGTCAGGCGGTTTAAGTGGTTGCCCCCGGCCTGCTTCGGTTAAGTTATCACTTTTGAGGTAAAGACAAATTGTACCATCTAATTTAGACTCTGATGCAGTAAATGGCCTTCCAGTTTTTAGTTTGCATTCTGTCAATAAATTCCTGAGTTCCAACTCCAGCACGATCGCCCCCTCCAGTTTCCCAGTCTGTGTTAACCCCT